AATCAAAATTCAGCTGAACGCAAAAGATTTTTGTAACTTTTCTCTCATTTGATGTAAAACGTATATTCCCAACTCCCTTGTTTTGGTCATTCAAGTGTACATAATGTCTCATAGCCCCACCCTATCAACTATCTATCAACGCATCTCTACACTTTGCTACCATGTCCTATACTCCTATGTCAATCTTTCGTTTGCCCTATTTCCAGGATGGTTAGATGGTACCTTTACATTTCGGAGTTCTATGTATATGTGCCATTCTCATGTTCTTAAGGTAACCATGTGAACAATATAGATAGTGAGTTAAACTATGTGGGTGATTAAAGAGAGAGATTATGTAAAAGGATTGGTAGGCCTCCCCGAGGGTCAGTATAGTGCATGAGACTTGGAAATGATTTTCAGGCCACCCGAGCCAAGTTACGATGACAATTCTGATTGCCAACCACACGCATTATGTATAATAGGAAATTGGTACTGTAGTTATGCTAACATTGAAAATTCAATCCTTAGTATTTCTATTCGGATCGACCAAAAGAAATATCTTTTATTTGATTTCTTTTACCGATTGGAAGTGGCTGACATTCATAGCAGTTGCGAAATTGTGAGCTTTTTAGAAACCTTAGTTTCACTGGATGGAGTAATGATTGTGACACTATACATAGGGCATATACCTAACAACATAGGACACCCTCCCCTCTTCTCCACTAGTAAAGGGAGCTACTCAACTTCTCACGAAAACTGGTTCAAAGACTATATATGTAAAAGAACATATAAGGTTACCAAACGGAGCCTTAGTTTAGGCATTATAATCTTGAATTGTGGTGGCTCAAATCTCCAGTCACGAGTTCTCCTTGAAGTTCCGAGTTCTCCTTGAAGTCAGGATGTTTAAAAGATCAATTGATATTATTAATAATTGAAATATGTAAACATTTAAAGGATCAATTGATATTCTTAAGTGGTAAGAGAGCTCATGACGGGAGACTTGATCCACCACAATTCAAGATTATAATGCCTAAAATAAGGCTCCGTTTGGTAACCTTATATCCTCTTTATCTTATGTCGCCAGTACAATAAAAAACAAAGAATAAGCAGCTTTGCACTTAGGATGTTTTTTTTAAAACTATTTTCAGATCAGACCAAACTTCCGTAGTTATAAAGTACACAGAAATCAATCGTTTACCAGGCCAAACCAGTTCAGATCAGACCAAACCAGTAAATTTCAGTCCAAAAGAAAACATCCTTATTTGGATGAAATTGACGTTACCAAACTACTTGCCTTTTGGTCCTTGCTTGTTATTCATAGTGGTGGACCGGGCCCAGTCCGGTTCCGGTTCCGGCCAGGCCTGGAACATTTTGGGTAAGGCCCGGAACCGGCCCGGGAGTCTACCGGTTCCAGGCCGGGTCGGTCCCAGGCCAGTCCGGTTCCCGCTTCAATTTTTTTCTTATTTATTTCAACCCCTACCCTCCCCCCCACCCCCCAAACGCCTCGGAAACACCCAGCCCACCTAAACCCAGCTTAAAGCCTTAAACCCCCAAAAAAGGCCCGAACCAGGCCCGGACTGGCCGGACCAGTTCACATTTTTTAGGCACCGGAACCGCCCCCGGTTACCCCATCAGGCCGGGCCTAGGCCCCAAACCGGTTTCCCGGGCCGGGCTGGTCGGACCGGGTCCATGACTAGTTATTCACTGAGATAGGTGACAATTTGCAGGCTTTAGACAAATAAATGATTAGTGCCTTCAAATTTTGGCTAGAGTGACATGAAAAAAGACAGAATAAGAAAAAAACAATTGCAGTTGATTGAAGAAATTGAAGACTTGATGAAAACCAAACTATTGTAAATTAAAGTAACCTCCATCTAGAACACGAAATATAGTATATACAAACTTCAATGAGAAGAATGGAGTTAGAGACAAGGCCAGCTTGTAAATGGGAAACACTACCAATATTTACAAGAACATTGAAGGCCAATAGAACATATAATAATCTACAAAAGAATCAAGCAGCAGGTGACCAGAGCTTATGATCTTGAGATGAATCACGGGCAGGTGGTGTTGCATAGTGCCACATTGGAAGGTAACCATAACTGGGGAAAACTGTGACATTATCAGGTCTGGGATGATATACAGCAGGATGAGGTGGCACAAAACCAGCAGGCGGTGCAGTTATCTTCAAAAAAACATTTGACTGCCTTACCGGTTGAATTTTTAGCTGAAATTTGGTATGAGTAAACTAGACTTAATGAAGAAGACGCTCAAAAAATTTCATCAAAAAATTCCACCAGGAACCGCTCCAATTGGCGACGGCCGGGCAGAACCTCCTATATAAGGGGCTAATTGAACACTTTAAGTCAGTTCAAGGGTCTATTTGACCCTTTAGCCTTTTTTCAATGGAATGTTCCTTGATACTCCCTCCGTCCCAATTTGTAAGATACATTACGGTTTACGATGTTTGACTGACGATAAAACAAATTGATCCCTGTCAACACTCAAATTATTTTTAGAAAATAAAATTTACATATTCAGAAACTACATTAAAACCGCTACAAAACTTGCAAAAAATAATTCAAATTTCATAAACTTTTGATATATAAAATAAAAGATTAAAAGTGATTTGTGTTGACCAAGTGAATAGTAAATGTATCATACAATTTGGGACTGAGGGAGTATTTACTACTCTAGGACAGAAATAGTAATTTCATAATTTATGACATGAATGTTATCAACTGCGGTTATCAAATGCAGCTGGCTATTTGACTATATAACTGCCAGGTGACATTTATATTCTATAAAACATTCACATTTTTACACATTGGTAATATTGATGAAAAATCTCATTTTTGTAACATTCTTTTTTATTAATATATTTATTCATTTTATAGGATCAACTATGTCAGACGATTCAAGATACTCTACTGTCGTGCTGCTAGTCCTAAGTATGAAAAATTGTAGCCAATGTAATGCCCAATATTCCTAGAATAGAGTTTGTACTTTTTATTTCCTGCACATTTTGGATTTTCATTCAGGATAAATTAATAAAATTAACGGTGCATCATAGTAGTTGTGTACTTATGTTTGCAATTATGATGTCTAAGCTATACTACCCAATAGTTACCCCAAACTTTGTGAAGGCGTACAACGAAAACTACGTGTCAAACGGCCAGTAAATATGGCAGAAGGAATTTGTTACTCGAACGGAATGAGCATTTTTAGTTGTTTACTATAGATGAATACATTTATCTTTCCTCATCAACGTAAGCAAATAAATCAAAATTCAGCTGAACGCAAAAGATTTTTGTAACTTTTCTCTCATTTGATGTAAAACGTATATTCCCAACTCCCTTGTTTTGGTCATTCAAGTGTACATAATGTCTCATAGCCCCACCCTATCAACTATCTATCAACGCATCTCTACACTTTGCTACCATGTCCTATACTCCTATGTCAATCTTTCGTTTGCCCTATTTCCAGGATGGTTAGATGGTACCTTCACATTTCGGAGTTCTATGTATATGTGCCATTCTCATGTTCTTAAGGTAACCATGTGAACAATATAGATAGTGAGTTAATCTATGTGGGTGATTAAAGAGAGAGATTATGTAAAAGGATTGGTAGGCCTCCCCGAGGGTCAGTATAGTGCATGAGACTTGGAAATGATTTTCAGGCCACCCGAGCCAAGTTACGATGACAATTCTGATTGCCAACCACACGCATTATGTATAATAGGAAATTGGTACTGTAGTTATGCTAACATTGAAAATTCAATCCTTAGTATTTCTATTCGGATCAACCAAAAGAAATATCTTTTATTTGATTTCTTTTACCGATTGGAAGTGGCTGACATTCATAGCAGTTGCGAAATTGTGAGCTTTTTAGAAACCTTAGTTTCACTGGATGGAGTAATGATTGTGACACTATACATAGGGCATATACCTAACAACATAGGACACCCTCCCCTCTTCTCCACTAGTAAAGGGAGCTACTCAACTTCTCACGAAAACTGGTTCAAAGACTATATATGTAAAAGAACATATAAGGTTACCAAACGGAGCCTTAGTTTAGGCATTATAATCTTGAATTGTGGTGGCTCAAATCTCCAGTCACGAGTTCTCCTTGAAGTTCCGAGTTCTCCTTGAAGTCAGGATGTTTAAAAGATCAATTGATATTATTAATAATTGAAATATGTAAACATTTAAAGGATCAATTGATATTCTTAAGTGGTAAGAGAGCTCATGACGGGAGACTTGATCCACCACAATTCAAGATTATAATGCCTAAAATAAGGCTCCGTTTGGTAACCTTATATCCTCTTTATCTTATGTCGCCAGTACAATAAAAAACAAAGAATAAGCAGCTTTGCACTTAGGATGTTTTTTTTAAAACTATTTTCAGATCAGACCAAACTTCCGTAGTTATAAAGTACACAGAAATCAAACGTTTACCAGGCCAAACCAGTTCAGATCAGACCAAACCAGTAAATTTCAGTCCAAAAGAAAACATCCTTATTTGGATGAAATTGACGTTACCAAACTACTTGCCTTTTGGTCCTTGCTTGTTATTCATAGTGGTGGACCGGGCCCAGTCCGGTTCCGGCCAGGCCTGGAACATTTTGGGTAATGCCCGGAACCGGCCCGGGAGTCTACCGGTTCCAGGCCGGGTCGGTCCCAGGCCAGTCCGGTTCCCGCTTCAATTTTTTTCTTATTTATTTCAACCCCTACCCTCCCCCCCCACCCCCCAAACGCCTCGGAAACACCCAGCCCACCTAAACCCAGCTTAAAGCCTTAAACCCCCAAAAAAGGCCCGAACCAGGCCCGGACTGGCCGGACCAGTTCACATTTTTTAGGCACCGGAACCGCCCCCGGTTACCCCATCAGGCCGGGCCTAGGCCCCAAACCGGTTTCCCGGGCCGGGCTGGTCGGACCGGGTCCATGACTAGTTATTCACTGAGATAGGTGACAATTTGCAGGCTTTAGACAAATAAATGATTAGTGCCTTCAAATTTTGGCTAGAGTGACATGAAAAAAGACAGAATAAGAAAAAAACAATTGCAGTTGATTGAAGAAATTGAAGACTTGATGAAAACCAAACTATTGTAAATTAAAGTAACCTCCATCTAGAACACGAAATATAGTATATACAAACTTCAATGAGAAGAATGGAGTTAGAGACAAGGCCAGCTTGTAAATGGGAAGCACTACCAATATTTACAAGAACATTGAAGGCCAATAGAACATATAATAATCTACAAAAGAATCAAGCAGCAGGTGACCAGAGCTTATGATCTTGAGATGAATCACGGGCAGGTGGTGTTGCATAGTGCCACATTGGAAGGTAACCATAACTGGGGAAAACTGTGACATTATCAGGTCTGGGATGATATACAGCAGGATGAGGTGGCACAAAACCAGCAGGCGGTGCAGTCATTGCTTTCAACTGCTGCTCTAATCTCTCTTTATCTACCTTAAGTGTCATTTTCTCTTTCCGCAGCTCATTCTTCTCAGCCTGTTAAACAGTGATTCGTAAAAATAATAAATAATACTAGAGGCAACACAGCATGAAGGTCAGAAGGTGTGACTGGATGTCCATAATACTAGAGCCTTTTAAGTAACGAATTTAACGAAATTGATTTCATTAAACATATATTAACTCCACAAGGTGTAAATGGATGTCCATAAGAACCCACAAATGAATAGACAAATATTTAATAACATAATTCTCCTCCCGGCCCAAAAAAGAGTCTATTTCAAGAACATCTTTTGTCCCCAAAAAAGTCCAGCTTCATAAGACACTTAGTTTTGTTTAACACTCTAAATCCAAGCAGCAAATGATGTTACTCAGTTACTCCAAACAAATTCTTAATTATGTTTTTGAGGTATATAAGTCAGCGTAGTCATTCTGATAGAGACTCAATCAACGTAACAGAATTTAGCAGTATTTTGATGAAGATCGTAGAGTTACAACTTACAATGGCAGAAACTACAAGTAAGAAAGAGAACAAATCGAGACACTTCGAGTAGTCTCAGAACTCCCAAGTCCCAGTTAATTTCTGCATAAACTCTTATTCTACTCTCAACTCCTATTTATAATATTTCTCTTATAGGCCGGCCCAAATCAAACTAGTACCAGGCCCGGTACCTTCTTATACTCTATACCAATTATTCAGTATAATACTAATCTGATTATTATTATAATACTAATCTGCCGGTCCTATCATATTTCCCCCCTTAGACAACCACCTTGTCCTCAAATCTGATAGGAAACAGCCCTGACCATCGTCTTCATCATCACTTCCTCCTGGCATTTGCTGAAAATTTCCCATGAAACTTTCAAATCTGATTGTTGTCTCCATTGAACCAAAATTTCCTTATCTCCTAATGCAAAAGATTTGACTCCTGCAAAAAAATTCCGTATCTCCTAATACTCTTCCGTGCACCCAACAGATCTGTACTCAAGTACACTATATTCTGCATAGCCGTTTATATCTACTCGGATGTAAAGCCACTGAGTTCCAGTAGGAAGATGCTCTGAGGATACGATTCTGCCACCAATCCCAGGAACCACTTTAAACTCCCAAATCCTCACCTTTTTAATACATCTGGTGCTAGTTAATGATCACCTCTTTTTCTGAGAGATACAATTACCTCTGAGTCTCTGATATCTGGTACATGTCTCGCCATTTCTCTTCTAATCTTGTACCTCCTTTCACTTGCTATTTACCAACCTTGAGACCTCATTCTTTGAATTTGTGATGGCATTGCTATTTGCATGGTCTCTCCATCAGTAACAAATGACTCAAGCATAGCACCTTTACCAAGCAATAGTTTCACAAGCAAGCAGTGGTTTGACCTTTTCCACAATCCTTCAGTATTGGCCACCATCAAGGTAGCAACTGAAGGAAAAATTTCAGCAGTGTAGTTTGTCAACAGGTATCCACCATTGGTATACTCATTTCCATCTCCATCATCTTCATAGAGAGAACCTTCAGTTTCACCTAGTGTCTCCAGAACCACGATCAGCAATAAATCATCTATAGGACCATAATGACCAACTTGTGGCGACTAAGATCTCTGCCACCAAAATAAACTGCCTGTCCCGTGCCTCTGATTGGGATAAGTCGCGTCATACCATTGAAGTAAGGATCAGCACCACAAGCACGATCAAGAGAATCAGTTAATGTTTTTGATGAAGTTACATCCAAAGCATTACCTACAACTGCAGTAGTTCGGAGAAGGGATTCAAACAACTCCTTGGTTGAGCTAGGATGACGCCTTAAAAATGGTGCAGTATCTTTTCAGCAACAACGTTTTTATCTCCTTTCATATATTAAGAATTATAACCTTGATCATAGCTCAAAATATCTAGCCCAGCAGAGGAATGATTGTGGTTTTGAATTTCACTTTTGTCAACCATTTTCTCAGACTTTGATCCACCCTCCTTGGATGGTGTAGCTGATGGTGATCGGTTTTCTTCATTTTTCATATATAGACTAGGATTAAATGCATTCCCTCAACTAGTATTGGTTTTCCATATTTCCTCGCTGTGTTTAAATCACCTGCCAGACCTCTTCAAGTTACTCTGCATTATATATACCCTTTCAGGCATTGAGACATTAAGCAAGTTCAGCCTCTGTAGAAGCTGGGGATAATTGGTGGATTTCCAACACAAGCACTACCACATGTCAAAATACTCGTGAACATATTGATTTCCAAGTTGGTCTTGATGAGCTCATATTTGGAAGAAGCATTACGAGTTGCTGAGTAAAGCTCAGATTCCTTAAGGGCTCAAGGGATTACAAATCAACGAAAGAGTTAGCACAATAAGGACGAAAGAGAAAGATACAATTGAGACACTTCGAGTAGTCTCAGCACTCCCAAGTCCAAGTCCCAACTGTTTATAATATCTCTTATGAGCCAGCCCAAAGCTAACTAGTACCTAGCCCGGTACCTTCTCATACTTTATACCAATTATTTAATACTCGTATAATTCTATTATCATTATACTAATCTGCCGGTTCCTATCACATTCATAACTTGTAATCCCTCCATCCCGGATTGCCAGGTAAAGGTGTCTGCTTGGGTTTATGAAGTTTGCTAGACATAAAGTTAACTGACTCATGTCAATAATAAGATTATTTTTAGTAAATAAAATTTACATGTTTAAAAACTACATTAAATTTATGAAGTTGCAAAAAAAAACTCAAATTGGATAAAAGTTGTATATAAAAAATCTTGTATTGTATAAAGCTCGCAGCATGAATGACTAAAAAATCTTGCTCAAACATGATTCTTTTTTGGGACGGACGTATTACTAACTCTCATACAAATTAATGACTCCACCGGAATATAAACCCAATCTCTCCCAATAGTGACACAGTCAGCTCATCCCTCAAGCAAGAAAGTTTCTTTATTTGGCTTTAAATTCACCTCAATCAGTTTTGTAGGTTTTGTTCAGAGAAAAACTTTTCTTAGAGGAACTCAAATTTAAGCAAAAACAAATTGTACATTGAATAGCAAATCAAACCTTTAAAGTTTTAATCTCTTCCAAAAGCTTCTCGTTCACTTCTGAATACTCTTGAGAATCAGTCTTTAACTGCCTTATAACTTTAACGGCATCCCCAAGTATTGCCACTTTGTCTGTTTTTACAGGTCTTTCTGGTTCGAGAACAGAGCAAAGCTCTGCAAATCTGCATAGTGGATATATTCATTACGACAGTTTACAAGAATGATTCTATTCTTCAAGTTAAATTTACTTCTAGGGCAATTTTATATTAGTACAAGGATACCTATCATTCAAATTTTGTCTTCTAACTTTCTCACGGCAAGCTTTGCTTCCCGATTTAATGCATGAATCCAAGCGTCCCCTATGAAAATAGGGAAAAATGAAAAATCAGATTGAAAAGAAATTTCAACCCAGATATAGACCAGCTTCATGAATTAACCTTTTAATTGCTAGTTCTACTTTAATATGGAGTTTTAAACTTAGAGTCAACTTAATTATTAGTCTTCACTCTCAGGTAATTCAGAAGTGGAAGCTTACATTCCAACTCCAGTTATGTGCATTCCAATTCCACATTATCGAAGCTTACAAACATAGCATTAAAACGATGGAACTAAATGAGCTAATGGAAAGTGATCACCAATAAAAAGTATTACCCCACATTCCCAGAATCCTTTGTCAATACACAAATGTTCTGGACTAATAAAAAACTAAAAGCTGATATTAAATTTAAAATCTTGAGCTCAGGGTCCAAAGCATACACAAACAACTTTAGCATCCAAAGTTTACCACAGAGAACTAAGAACATTATGTGAAAGTAAAACAGGTATATTTAGAGACAATGATGGCTCCCGAATGACTAGCTTAGGGGTGCGAAAAAAATGCATTATGACATTACTCCATGTATTTTATTATATAAAAAGTGGTTTAAGTTTATACTTTATAGCACATAATAAGACACTTGAAAGTTCCATAACCTATCGTTATACACTATATGTGTGCAATTTTAAGGAAAAAGGAGTAACTTTGATTCATTATAGAAGTGTTCTAAAAATCGGCATATGTAGACACCTAGATGACACCAAATCAAGCAAAAAATTGTTTAATTATAAAAATGGTTGGAAAATATCAATGTGTTTTGCAATAAAGTGCCATTTACATTCTCATAGACTGTTATCTTTATAAAAAAACTTGTTTATCTATATGGATATTGTTAGAATAGAATGAAGAGCCAAGAGATTTATTTTCCTTCAACTTGAATGCTAGTAAACCAGGAACCGTGTTTCGGAATTTTAGATTGGTAAGTGAAACCTAGGCTTTATATACAGATCCACATGAACTCTATATGAGAGCTGCCTAACTTGTGTCCTAAAATATTTCGAAAATTGGTTGATCTTTTACGAAATCAGGTCTTTTTTATCTACTACACATAAGCTCTACAAAATATGTAGTATAAATTATCATTTTATTCTTAATGAATCCTGAATCCTAAATAAATATTTTTGTTATTTGTATCATTTTACGTTGAAATCAATAATTTGTTCACTTTTTTCATGAATATGACATGAAACTAAACTAAAGTGAGTTGGTCATTCTGTCCTAAAAATTTACTATTTAATATCATTTGTATTTGAAATATAAAGTTATAAACTAATTTTATTCCATAAAATTAAGGGGGGAAATATGTAAATGTAATAAAGTGTGGGAAATTCATAAAGATATGATACATATAGTTTAAATAAAATTTAATTCCAAGGAGGGGGTTGCTTCTGCAACCTCTAAATCCATTCCTCATTAGAAATATACCTCTTTCTCTGGTGTTCTGATTGCAAATATTCATTTCCTTGAGATGTAGCACCATGATGTGATGTATCCACTTCTGCTGAAGATCTGCCAGCCAAGGACCAGTTAAGCATACCATTATACCAAGAATCAGTTATGCATAAAGACCCTTTCTATATAAATGTTATGAGTAAAGGCATTATAAGAGCTAAAAAAAGGTCAAAACTACTACGTGCAGGAAATTGGTGACTAAAAAAGTAAAGAAACATAGATTATTAATCCTTATTCTTGTTTCAGATCAGTAGCTAAAGTGAAACAAGTACACGACCATTTTCCCAGTTTCGACATAAAATCTCCAGAAACAAAGAAAGACCCTGAACTATCTTGTCCAGCAAACAGATTTCCTTCGTAACAAGCTCAATCAGCACACAAGAAAATATGAAAGATATAAAGTAAGAAGACACTTAGCTCCAAATTACTGAGACCATTTTGTAAAATCTTTGTTTGGGGAATCGATTTACCTCAAGGAAACGGAATGATGATCACATAAAAGATCGGGGCTGGGAGAAACGTCGTCGACGAAGCAACCGAAATCGGGGAGGTCCCATTTGTTGTCTTGAAACGAAACCAAATCGTCCATTCTCTAGGTAGGAAGCGAATTGAATCGGAAAATTGAATAATAAATCCGAGAGTAATAATAATAATGCGAGAATACAGAACGGCGGAGCCGCGAAAAAAGGGCAGCGGTATTTTTTTTAGGGGTGGGCGCGGTCCGGAACGGTCCCTAAATTAGTAAAATCCGTAATGTATCCGTGAGGTTTTTAACGGTCCGGTACGGTCCAGTTTCAAGGATGGAACCGTTCGGTACTATGTCGTTTCGGAACGGTACAAAACGGTACGGTACAATGCCAAACACATGCTAAAAAATTTGAAAAAATCTTTCAATTAGTAGATATCATCACACCAACCAACTCACATGAAATGTTGATATAAATACAAGAAATTGCATATATAGGACTAAAATTCACAAATAAACAAATAGTGCAACACAACTAAGAAAGAGTATAGCAAAACGATGACGCACGAGATAAATATCATTCTTAATTTACTTAGTTCATGTGAAAATATAAAAAAGAATATCATCAAATTGTTGAATATAATAGAAATCATCAACGTTCTTCTTCTTCATTCTAGGTTAAATATTACTACCTCCGTCCCGTTAGAAGGTTCCCATAGCAAAACGGCACGTACGGTTATTTAGGTGATAATTAAATAATGTACTTCGCGTATATTTTGAGAAATAATTTTAATATGTATATATTATAATGTGTTAGTATTGATAACTGTGATGTTATAAATGTATTATTTTTAATATTTAATGACTAAATTGTCAATTAAGATTGTTAATTGTTTCCTAAAATGGAAATGAGAACCTTCTAATGGGACGTCCAAAAAAAGAAAGTGGGAACCTTCAAACGGGACGGAGGGAGTACTTCGTAGTTCTAATTTAATTTATAGTTGAACCTTGAGACACTACATAAAAACATGGGATTAGCAAGGATTTTGGCAGGAATTTCAAAAAAATAAAAAAGGATTTGGCAGAGATATGCCAAATCCGTGTCAAAAACACTTTGGCCCGAGCTATTTGGCACGAAAAATCGGTACTTCCGTGCCAAATTTCGGGTCAATCCCGTTTTTTTTTTGTAGTGAGAGCTAAGATTTACATCATATTAATTAAGTTTTAAAATTGCACAAACATGATACAAAAAGTCATGTGCGCTAACATTACTAGAAATGAAGTCATTAATGATTTCTCTAAAATTTTAATATTCTTTCAATATATACCAAAATATAACATAAATTATCTAAAAAGAAAAAATAACAATATCAATATATATATATATATATATTATACACAAATACACACATTTAGCTATTTTGAGGACACATGAATACATACTTGGGCTATAACATTGTTGGTCTATAAAAGAGATCTATTGAATTGTTATAGAAAAATATAAAAATTTCAAGTGCATTATTTTTAAACGGTTCGGTCCGGTATTTTTCGGTTCTCAAACTCTAGGACCGGTCCCGTACTCGTTTCAAACGGTACGGTTTCGGTACGGGACAAAAATATACAGAACCATTTAAATATCCGGTATTCGGTTCGGTACCATTACGGGACGGTTCGGTACCGGTTCGGTTCGGGTTTTATGCCCACCCCTAGTATTTTTGTTCTTGGATTTTGATTAGAGATCGCAATTGAGTGAACGATGGCACTGAACCGCCCAGTCAAAACGGGAAACAGTACGGGGTGGGTGGGGAATTCCTGTTTTGTTTTTACCGATAATGGAGCGGTTGTGGTTTTATACATGCCCGCTACGTTTATTTTTAGTTATATTTTTATTACATTTTATCTATTATTTGTCCCACAACTATTAAAATATGAGACTTTTCTTTTTCCATTATGTATATATAGATTATAGATGTACTAATTATAATGTATGAATGAAAGTTCTTAATAGATTTTAATAGTCTTGTTTGATTGTTATCATATTTTTTAGTGATGAATTATTATTTAGATCAAGTATTTTAGGTCAAATTAATTTAAATTGCTTTCTTTCTCGTCTTGTAGATATATGAAACTTTAAAGGGGGGTGTGAAGTCTAGACTCGTCTAAGCAATGCCATTTTTCATCTTTTCAAATTTTATTTTTATTAAAAAAATTAATGACTCATTTAATAAAGCGGTTACCCGCGGTTACCCGAAATTTTATCCGTCACCCGTTGGGGCGTTTATGGTTTGGATAAAAATTACATGTTTGTTAATGGGGCGGTTACGGGGCTTAGCAATTATCCAATGGGGTGAGTACGATTTATATGTAAAACCATACCCGAACCGCCCCGTTGTCATCACTAATTTTGATTATTAGTAAGGTGAAAACGAGGCGAATGGCAAGACACCTAATAATCATAACTACTAGGAGTATTAACTACTAATCATTAACGAAAACAGAGTTAGAGATGCTGTGACCAGACCAAATCAGATCGTATATAGTTGTAAAATGCATAAATATCAAACCGGATTAGCAGACAAGTCTGGATAATTCTAGTCCAAGTAAAATCACCTTTAACCTGATTATCTAAAAACTTATAAATGCCAATGAAGGTTAGGGCATTTTAGGGATAAAAAAAATGTTGGTGTAATAGTATTGCTTAATGGGGTTGTACATTATCTTCATATATTTGTACTTTTTGGAATTGATCTGCTTTCTCCGTCATGTCTCCGTCTTTATACGGAGCACATCGTAACTGTTTCCGTTTCCATCCATTCGCCCCTTCCATCATATATGGCCCTTCGCATACCCTGGAAGGGATGCATGTATTATGTATATACCTCACCCATATATTACATCATTTCGTATGGATAATAACAAAGAAGGTATTAAACTATTTGCAATCCACTACTGTGCAACTCCATGTCTATTTTAGCACGATTTGATTAAAATGGAAATCTTTCATCATGTGTTATTTTCCCCTTTGGTATTTTACTACTCCGTATTAGTTTTATAATAAAATATATGTACTAGGGGTCTGTTTGCAACAGCTTCTGTTTTAAAAAAGTGCTTTTCTTAATGAAATGAGGAGAAGTGATTAAATAAAAGTTGATAGTGTTTGGGAAAAAATTGATTTTGAAAAGTAAAAGTGGGTAGTGTTTGGTAAAATAAGTGCTTTTTGTGTAATAGAAAAAGTAAAAGCACTTTTGACGTGGAAGCCGAGAAAAATAAAAGTTGTGTTTGGGAAAATAAGTGCTTTTTTAAATCCAAAAGCTGAGAAATGTTTTTTTAAAAGGAGTTGCAAACAAACCCTAAGGGTTGATTGTGGCTTAAGGCAATTTGTAGTTTTTACACCACTTCCTATTACAACTTAACTATTTTTAGTTCTTCTAAAGGTTAACTATTTAGATCTCGGATTGCATCATAGTAGGTTAATCTGATAGAATGAGTAGCCCAAAGTCAAACTACAATCAGATATGGTTGACATTTTATTGTTAGTTTCCGGTGTGTGATAAATACTTTAACACAAATACATATACTTATATACATTACACATATTTCACAACAAAGAATACATTGGGCACTTTTCTTATCGCGCAACGCGCGTGTAAGAACTAGTTCTTAAATAAATGTTAATAAGATGTTTGGTAAAAAGCTGACTGTTTAATTTAGTTCCGTGTGGTATACAAGCTGTTAGGACAAATTAATACTAAAAGTCACGGTCTTTTCTCGGATGCTACTCCTCGTAGCATTACAAAAAAGATCTTTTATTTTTTGAAAAAAACTCTTAAAATTAATTTGTCATGTCAAACATACAGCTAAAAGATTTTAGAGATTTTTTAAACAGTACAAAAGATAGAAGGCACAGACTTCTGTCTGCCAAAATAAAATCATTCTTAACTGTTTTAAATAGAATAAACAGTAACATGGATGGAGATATGGGGCTGGAGGGGGTTTTAGACCCCAAGTTTTTTTTATATATATTCATATGTATAATTATTTATAGATATTAAAATATATAGAGATATTTAATCTTTATAGTGGAACCAGATATGGAATTAATAAATTACTTTTTGGAATAAGGATTCTAAAATGAAAGCGTTTAATGCATCAAGCCCCCTCTTAAAATATAAATTCGGCGCAGTAGCCCCTTTTAATTTAAAAAATGTGTCAAACTCACTTGTGTTATGATTATTCTTGCACAAAACACCTTCTATGAAGAAATAATTTAATTGCCAAAAAAATGAAAAATGATTATATTTTTTTTGTATAGTTTAGAAATTTTGACAAATTACATGTATATTCAATCATGTTATTAAGAAAAGTAATATCAAAATTGTAAAATTTGTTATTGGAGGGTTTTTGAGCATGAATAATTATAGGCCTTTTTCCTTCAATATTACCAAATTAAAGTCATTTTCTAAAAATGTGACCATTTTTCAAAAAGGACAAAAATGTGACCAACAAGGTCATATATTTGGAAAAACATGACGTCACTGCCAAATTTTTATGTCACTGTCAAATTTTTATGTTGCTATAATACGTCATTACCAAATTTTTATTTCACTTTTTGAATGCCACTACCATTTTAATGTCACTATTAGATGTCATTACGGCTGTAAAATGTGTCAATGTCGTCACTGGATAAATTTTCGACGATTTTTCCCGGCAAGATAGTGACCTCTATGGCTGACTAGTGACCATCCCACATCACCGGCCGCCACGCAGCCGCCATCCCACCACTACTTCCATCTCCCTAGAGCGCCTGCCCATCCCCACACCCCAGCACCCCAAAACCAGTAACCACCATGAAGCCCATTGTCAGAGGCGGACGTCTAATGCCCACACTGACGCCCAGTCCCCCACTACACTGCCCCTCCCCATCACAGTCGTGGCCACCACTGCCACAGCCCAATGACCAACACCAATGCGCCACCTTGACTTGGCTCCCCAGAACCTCAGCCCCAACCACCAACTCCGCCATATCCGCCATCTCAAACTATCCCAATCGCTACCGCACAGCAATCCACCCCTCCCAGCCCCAATCCACCCATCCCATCCCCGATTCACCCCTCCCATCCCCGCCTTTGACAGTCCAACCCAACCTCGACCACCACCAGTGAACCCTAGCCGCCGTCCTCCTCCAGATCTGGCCACTTGCTGGTCTCCATTTATTGTCCTT